GATGGTTGGAGAGAGACACATTTTATCAGGGAAGCTTCCTTGTGGCTAAAATTCCGAAATATCCTTACCTTCCCCAAACAAATCCGACCTGATCCCACTCACATGGCCCCACATTATCTCAAAACCTTGCTTGAAAGTTTATTCCTAAGTTATAAAAAAAAGAAATTTACATTTAAAGAGATTTATTGAAAATAATCATGTTTTTAATATTTATATAATGACAAATTATATATAATTAGCATAAGAAATGAAGTAGTTATGGAGCTATGACATAAAACGAAAAGCAAAATAATCATTAATAGTTATATAATCTACTAAGAAAATTGATACACCATTGACAAATTTCTATAATTTGACACAAATTTTGAGACAATTTCTTAGCATTCAAATTTTAATTAAAAATTATTCAGAGTCAAACTAGCCGCTTTGATGAGACAGATACAATGATACTAAATTTGGTCCAATCCAGAACAAATCAAGCCTAAATCGAGCTGTTAAATAATTTTTGGAAGTTTTCAGTGTTTAATTGGAATGTCAAATGAATTCTAAATCTATTTTGTAGCCAAATCGAGTGTCCCGACAAGATGAATCTAATGAGTCGAAAATCACTCAATTCTGACGTTTAGGGCATTCAAAGGTCCTTCGAATGTTATTCAATCAATAAAAGCTCTTTGGGCCGTCCGATAGAGTGGTATGAATTCCTTCCTTATTTGTAGAAGGGTCTCTCCCAGACTCTATAAACAAATCCCTATACAAGCCTTCAGAGGGGACTGAGACCTTGAGTAAGAAGGAGACTAAAGTTTGGAGGAGGAACTGAAGTCCAACATCTCTTTTGCACTGCAGATCAAAAGAACGCATCCCGCTCCTATAACCACCGCCTGTTGGCCACCATTAGCCGCAGTCAACCACCCTCTACTCATTACAATGAAGCTCTAAGTGGAGTCAAGACCTACATTGCATACCAAAAAAGCACCGTGAAAAGCAACAACCGATATGGCATAGTCACGAAGCATCCTATAAAGTAGTGCATCATCTCGAACCTCATGCTAACCTCGAAGATGATGTATCAAAGCAACAACCACTCCTTGTTTTGATTGTTGATATCGTAGAGTCACGAAGCATCCTATAGAGTTGTGCATCATCTCGAACTTCATGCCAACCTCGAAGATGATGTTTTAAAGCAACAACCACTTTTTGTTGTGATTGCCCCATATAGTGGGACGAGTTCTTCCATGCAAGACCGTTGTAACTCGAGAAACTGCACAATCATTTCACTCATGTGGGACATGGGCATGTATGTGTAATCATCAACTCAAAGTGGTTCATTTCAACTATGTTAGATTCTGTAGTTTTTTTCCTTTTCGAGTTCTTCACATAAAACAAATACTAGTTATTTTCTTTTATTTGAGTGTGTGATGAATTCTTGTACAAAGTTAAAACAATATAGTTCACTAACTATTGTTGTGAATCTTTTAGCAAGCATAAAAAACTGAGAATGTAAAATAACATATTCAATTTGATAAAAAAAAAATTGTTAAAAACTCAAATATATTTATATATATAGTAATTTAGTGCACACTTAATTATATAAACTAACATATATACGCCCATCACATTGCCTAATTTATAAAATAACAAACTATATACAAAATTATTATATGAATTGAAACTACTACACATAATAATGGAGCACAATAGTCATGACATAAGTTAATCAGAGGCCATGGACCTATTGATTTAAAAAAGGATAATTAGGATAATCTTTTTTATCTATATTATTAATGTTGAATAATATATTTTTTCGATGAAGAAGGAATTAATTCATCAAAGGGTGATGTTATTAATAATATGATGTTAGGCATGTTTCCTTTTTTATGCAATATATTATAATTATTATTATTCTTTTATGTTTTAATAAAATTTTAATATCATTTGCATGAGATTTGCCCTCTTTTCAAATATTTTCATTAAAATATGAAAACTATTGTGGATTGAAAAAGAGGTGTCTCTGCTAAGAAAATTTTGACAACTAATTACAAGACAAAAAGGGATCTCTTCGTAGGTAACTTAACTATATGCAGTGATTGCAAAATTCCTTAAGTGGAATGGAACTAAACTCTTAAATTTTGATGTATCTTTTTATATAATGGTTGAAATTTAATATGAAACTTTGAAGTTAGGTGTGCATGGGAGCACTCTTGGGATGGGGTGAGCACCTGTGAAGTTAGACTAGTGGGACAAACATGGGCATTTGAATAAAGTGGAAAATATCTTGACAGGTTAGAGTTCAGGCTATCGTAAAAAGTGTCATAGCAGTACACCAGTCTGAAGAGTAAACTATATTTTATACTAAATAAAATATTAAGCAATGTGAGTCATCTTTTAAACCCTAGGTATGACAAAGCATTACGTGATGGGATATACCACTTGAGTGTGTAAAAGTCACCTCTAGAAGCATTTCTACGTAGTGGATAATTTTGGGTTAAGAATACTAATGAAAATATAAGTTATTTAAGTGGAAGAGATTATAAAATTTCTTAACAAGAATGAAGTTGCACTTGTAAACATTGAGGTGGCTTCTGATGGAACGATTACAATTTTCATTTGAAATTTCAATGATAAGTGTGTTTGCATGGAACCATTCTCAGGATGGGTGATATTCTAGGAAGTTAAACTCGTGAAAAAAAAAGGTTGCACACTCTTATCAACTAAAAATAGAAAAACTAATTGTGGGTTAATAATGAATCATATCAAGTCTTCCAAATATGTATACTTCATAATGAGAATATTAATTATTTATATTTCTATGAATATTATGAGTATTCATTTTTTATAGCATGAGTGTATGTGCCACAAAGACAAGAATCTAGAGCTTTATAAAAGAGACCATGATTATCAAGTTGATCATCTCAAAAATAAAATTTTATATTACAACATGAGGTAATAGAAACAATAAAGAAAGAGATGATTTATGAATTAGGATCATAGTACATAGCTTATAATGCCTTTTTTTTTTTCATTTTCCCTATTATTTATATGAAGAAGATGAGTTGTAAACAATGAGGCACCCGATTGATGCAATGACTACGAATTTACAGTCACATATGATTGTTAAATTATAATGTATTAATCTGAAATACAAATAAAAATCAATCAAATAGAGCAACAATAGATGAATTTGCAATACTAAATAATAATAAAAAAAAATATGGCAAAGAAGAGAGCAAAGGAAATGTGAAAAATGAGGATGAAAGAGAATGCGACAAAGAGGAGATGAAGTGAATTAAAATATATGTTGAAAAACCAGGAAGAGAGAAATGGGACAAATTATGTGATATGTGGAGGATGGTCGACATCATAGAAATGTTACTTTAAATATTTTCATCAAAAAATTGACATTTTGATGATGGCAAACTAAAAATATTTTGGCAGATTTTTCAATAAAAATTTTGAAAACTCTAACTTTTTTTTTTAAATGATACACTTACGAGTCTCCATCATTGCAGATTCACTGAATTTCTTCAAATTGAGAAGACATCATAACCTGTGAACATTTTTTAGTGAATTCTCTCGATAAAATAAAATATAGTGAATTTTGAGTTCCAAAAAAATAATTCTCACATTAGTTTTACAAGTTGATATATTCTTATTTATAGCAAATTATTTTTAGATAATATCTATTTCTTATAGTGACAACAAATTTTCATCCCTTGTCAATATCATTAGCCTTCACCACCTTAAGAGAAATCTCCAACATCCTGAATTCTTATATTACTCTATTTCTTAACATTATGAGGAAGACCTTACTTTTATAACATTAGCTATACTAGCGGATCTTACTTAATCGATTAGTCCAGTAAAGTTTTCCTCTCCATTTTTTTTTAGAAAAAAATCAAGTGCCCTTTAGATATAATAAACTTTTTATGTTCAAGCTCACAAGTTGAACTTATGCCGATCGCGCTCACAATCTAAATTTGAATTCAAGTTAGTCTTTGGATTTGTTAGTTGGGCTTGGCAAGTTGTGACTTGAGCTCGATTCACTCAACGATCAACACATTCGTCCCATGGCAAGTTTAGCCCAATGGGCCTTTGTTGTCAAACCTTAATTGGTCAAGCAGACTTGAACTTGAATGGAATTATTTAGTTGCACGAATATATTCACTGAACTAAAATTGCTTTTACACACATGCATCATAAACACATAATAAAAAAAGGTAATCTTTCAATCTTTCCTATTTTGGTCGGTGCAAACCCTTGGTAAATAAATGTCTCAAATAGAAATGGGTAAGTAATTATAATTAGCACACGCGCGCGCACATTATATTGTTTGATTTTATAGTTCTTGCAATTGCATCCTTTTATGAATGTGATTTCTAGTGGTTATATCTGACATTGTCAAAACAGCTCATCCTTCATGGTCAGCTCTTATTCCGCTAGATAAATAATTCGTGTTTAATTTGTTCTTTAAGCAGATCTAGATTTATAAACAAGCCGAATTTGAAAAGAATTTTATTTGATTATGTTCAGCTCATTTTGACTCAAATTAATTAGATAATTAAATAATTAATATTAATTATAATCTTTTTTTTTACATTAATATTTTAACGTTACATTTAAAAATTATTAAATTAAATTTTTAAAATCATTTGAGCAGAAGATAAACCACAAATAAACAAAAGAAGTTGATCAGAGTCAATACAAACATGATATTCACCAATCATTACAAACACGAGCGGATCTCAAAATTTTTTTTTTTTTTGAATTACATTATTCCAAATAAAAAAAAATTTAATATCAAATATTTATTGAAATATACTAATTGTTGTTAGCGTTATGTGTGTTATTTTTAATATTTCTAATATAATTTTCAAGTGATATTTCCGATTTACAAAGTAAAAATTAAAAAAAAAACATTTTTTACAATATAATAACACAAAATTGTTTATAAAATATAGATATAAAATTAGATATTAATAACAACCAATCTCCCACTCTAAATAAAAGAATAAAAAGAAAAAAGCTACAACCAGTAATTAGACTGCGAAAAACAAAAAATAAAAATAAAAAACTCCGGTCCAACCACATAAACCGGCCAGCTAATTCGCAATTTTGCCGAGCGGGCTCAGTGGCGCTGCGGCGGCGCATCAAGGAAGTTTGGGCGCAGCGGCATAGAAGCCCAGGGAGGCGATACGCCGGCGATGGTGTTGATCGGTCGAGCAATGAAGCGTTTTTCTCCCGCCGCCACTGGCGGCGGCGGAGTAACACGCTCACATGAGGGGCACATGGTGAGGGTGGTGGGAGGAGTCATATGCATATAAAAATGCGGGGAAAGCTTCAGGGCTCGAAGCTCCTGAACTTCCTTCTGAAGCCTGCGATTCTCCTCCGTTAGATTCTCGCAGCATCGCTTCAAGAACTCGCAGTCCACTTCTGTCTGCTTCAGCTTCGTTCTGAAAAGCCATCAATACAGCACAGAGTGAATAAACTTTTTAAGCACTTCATGAAATGCTTCTATAAGTGAGAAGAAGAGGAAGAAGAACTTGAAGATGACTACCTCGCTCTTCGATTTTGAAACCAGACTTCTACTTGCCGGGGCCGGAGATTCAGCTGCTTAGCCAACGCCAACTTCTGCTTCTGCACATTTTTAACAGCATAAGTTCAAAAAATGTTCTTTTTAAAACCCCAACATTTCAAAACCTTAAAAAGTTTTTAAAAATGGAAATCTAAAAAGCTTATCCTTTTCTTTTATTAGAATCTTGTTAGGGGAGAAAGAGATCTTTACAGGGTTAAGTGTGTTATGCTCCTTGAAGCTCTCCTCCAAAACAGCCGACTGCTCCTTCGATAACCGCAGTTTCTTCCTCGCCCCTTCGCCATCTTCCTCATCACTCCCACCACGGGAACACTCCTGCTCCCCTTCAATAACCTCGCCGCACACAACGAAAGGTCCGGCGACCCCATAACCGCGTTTCCCGCCGGTGCTCGTGTTCGATACAGAGCTATTAGGAGAAGAACCACCGGCATCATCCTCAAACTCCCACTCCTCCATTGGAGCACGATTAACATCGATTCCACCCATTAAAATTAGCCCCTGCTCCTGCGGCAATGTAGCGGGAGGCATTAGGTTTGATTGAAGAGGGCCAATGGCATCTGAAGAGCTCAGACTCAGAGTGAGCCCAAGATCTTCTTTTTCGACCAACATCGACTGATTTGTGTCGAATCGCTCGCCTTTGCTCCTTCTCCTTTCCTTCTTCGATTTGTGCTCTAGGGTTGCAGAGGGAAAAAGGAAGATGGAAATAGGTAAAAGTGTGAACTTTGTGGTGGAAAGAGGAATGGAAGGCTGTGTTTGATGAGCCGAGAAGAGAGGAATGGTGATTTAAATAGGAAGCAGTGATTGCCTTTTTGCCTTAGTACGGCAATCATGGATGCTAAGGGATGAGCTCTACAGTTTGGTTACTTTAACTGCAGTAATATTTGAACTGTGGTTAAGCCATGTGGTGAGGTGGGGCCGGGGCATGTCGCCCGCCGTAGTCGGCGGCTCCAGACAACTGTTGTGTTGGCAGTTGACTCTGCTTCTCTGAAGTAATCACTTCCTTAAAAGTTATAGTAAAATAATAGCATTTTGTTTGGATTGATATATTTGATCTATTATGGTTGTAATATAAGTAAAATAAGTCGCGCGATGTTGATCGATCATTCAATCATTCGCATCAAATTAAATGCAGAATGGATTGCGTGCGTTGAGATGGACGGACGAGATAATAGAATATAAATCATCCACTGATCTACATAGATACAAGTATGATTAATGCAAGAGTACTAGATCCTTCAACTAATAATATGAGTGCTTAAATTTATAGCACATAAAAAAATAAATAAATAAATAAAAATATATTTGTGTCATATCACATGCATAGCATCCGAAACATTGCTATTTATAAATCAAACATCTTTTTTTCATTCATTTTCAAATTCTCAATAAAATATCAAATTACATGATAAAATCTGAACTCATATTTTTTTTCATTTTTATTAAATTTTTAATGACTTGATCATGACGCACGTAAATACATTGATAGATATCACTGTTTGATTTATAAATAGCATTAATATTTTTGGTGCTATTTATATAATCATCCTAATAAAAAAATACAAAAATTTCAGCATTATTGTAAAATAAAAATATGAATCTACAAGTCAACCTTTGTGATTTTACTGAGATAAAATCTCACTTATTCAATGCATTCATTAATTTCGATAATTTGATCTTCAACAATTTAGTAAAAAAAACATATTAAAAATAATATCTTATATTGAATCAAGTAAAGTACAATGCGCGTATAGGTTAAGTGATTCAATTAGCATAAGCAGCACATTATAAATGGTAAACCTTTTTTGTATCTAAGAAAGCACTATTTTTTTTATAATGAACAAGAATTACGGAAGATGACTTGCAAAGTAGAAATATGGAAGGCTTGAGGTTTTAGAGTTGTCTTCGGGTGAGGATCAATGATATGATCAATTATCTTTCTTATAAAAGGAGAGATTGATCACATGTTAGGTGCGTTACAAAAATTAAGCATATTGATCAGATGTAAATTTGACGATATTTAATCGGATTTGCATCTGATTTACGTCCGATTTTTTTGGTCGTAAGGGAGGAAAGGCGAGCGGCGACGGAGAGAGAGAGGAGAGGGTTTCGATGTCGTGAGAGGGAGGAGAGGAAACGGGGTCTTGGCACGCGAAAAAGAAAATGAATTGGAACAATTACGTCAGCTTTATCATCTACTTTATGCCGGATATTTTCGACACTTTCAGTAAAATTTTTTGCAATGATTTATTGGACACAATCAAGACGCAAAAAAACGGCGCAACACCACCATTAATTTGCATTGTTGTTTGTGTTGAATATTCAGATGTCAATCTGATGCAAATTCAAACGCTAATAGAATAAATTTACTTTTTCCGCAAATCAATAACAAAATTCTACGTGAATATGCACGTCGAAAATTTCCGACAAAAAAAATTTGATGCTAATTCAAAGCTCTCTTGTAAAAGTGGCTATTAATCTTGGTAGCGATAGTGAGTATCAATATTATTGGTGATGATGTGAATCAACTTGGGTGGCAGTGGTGACTATTAATTTTGATAAAAGATGTGAGTTAGTCAAGACAACAATGATACCCAAACTTTGTGGTGATCACGAGCGTTGATCTTGATAGCAATGGCTAAGAGTTTCTTTGGTGATATCATTGAACATATAACTTGACAATGAGCTTCAACGATAACAGACATTAGATTTAGTGGCAAATATGAGCATCAAACATACTGGTCATAGCAAGTGACAATGTGTAGTTACAATTGACATTTTCCTTGAGATGTTGGGTTTTAATCTCAATGTTAACTAAGCACATCAATCTTATTGTTGGCAACATATAGTTGATTTATAAATGAAAAATATCACTGTTGTTGATGATTGATGTGTGCTAGAAGATTCACGTGGTAGAGTAATAAATTATCGTCTTTAGTGTTACAAGAGAATTCAACACACACTCAAATGAAAGAAACAACCAGTAGAGAGACCAGAATTTTCTACGTAGAAAACCCATAAAAGAGAAAAAAAACATATGACAATGCCCAACTTAAGAGATTCACTATAAACTGAAGATTTTAAGTATAACCCATTGTTTCACAGATGGAGAAGAATTACAAAGTTTCCCGAGTTACAATGTTGAAACATTGAAGAATTTGTCACAAGAAATATGTGACGATCAATGGTGATAGACGACGATCGACAAGTGGTGATCGACGGTGGTGGACGATAATTGACGGTAACAGAAGTGATGCTGGACATCAGCTCATTCTCAAAGCTTCAAGGTCTTCCTCAGATCTCAAGCTCCCTCCCCCCTCCTGAGGGAGATGGGGCTTTATTTATTGAGTTCTGGTTGTAATTAATGCATGAATATCAATCATTTAGATCAAACGACTCAGATAGCTTCCCTCAATCAGAAGATAATTTGATGGACATTTGAGTGCCTTAATGATGAAGAAATTGAGCTATCCTTGGCTCATTGGATTTGTCTCGCTAAAATGCTCAATTCGACTATAAACAACGTCGGATTCAACATCTATTTGAACTTTCAAATGTGTTCGCAAAACTTCTAAACATAATTTAATTGTTTGATCAAGCCTTGATTTGGTTTAGATTGGATCAATGTTAGTATCATTGGGTATGTCTTGTCGAGCCGATCACTTTAATTTTAAGTTCGCTAGAATCAGAGCTCTGGATTACTTTTTATCGACATTTGAATATTCATTTACTCAACAGGTTGTTTTAAGAGTCGTGTTATGCCTCGAGATTCATGTTGGATGTAAGAATTTGTTGATGGTGTATGTGCTTATACGTAAATTAAGATCCTTCTTATGGTGTTATTCTAATCACTCCCAAGCTTCCATTAGACTCCAAAAAAAAAAAAAAATCATTAGAGAAGCATTCTATTCATTTCAACAAAAAATTTGAACACCATTGATAACAAGTTATTTTTAGATATTTTATTTTCTTAATGAATTAAAAATCGAACTACCTTACATTTTTCACATTAATCGGGTTGAGATGCTTGTTCCCATTATAATCATATAAAAATCAAAAGTCTTTTTGTAGCTTAAATTGTCTCATGAAGTTCTTAATTATGTTAAAATGCCTGACTTGGATCCATCTGGATTTGGTTAATATATTCCTTTAATCCAAAATATATGTTTTGACTATCATTATCATATAATAAGCCATCAAAACTAATAACTTCACCATCAATGGGGAGAATGGGAAAAAAACTAATATATATATATTGCAATTATTATATTTTAGTTACTCTAATTCCACATTTATAATTATTATTTATTTTTTTTTGCAAGTGAATTTCATGCTAAACAGCTCTATAAGAAGAATATAAAATATATGTACCTTCAAGGATGGATAATGCTAACCATATTGTATGAGGATCACATGGACAGGCCATCAGAGCTGTCGGGCGAATCATAGAAGAGCCAATTGTGCTCTACAGAGCAATCATTAATTAATTTATTTGCTTTCACATGCCACCAAACTTTGCGCCAAATATTACTCATTTATAAAATTATGAAATGATACACATTTTGGTTAACCTTGAAAATGATGTTGCTTCTTTTTCTTTCAAATCAAATTTATTGAGTAATTATTAATTCTAGTGAGTGTCAATTCGATTAATTGTAAGGATTTTGAAAGTTATCGCAAAGATTCTAAAATTTATTTCTGCCCATTTTATTTGTGTCCAAATGCTCACCGCTTATACAGTTCATTATGTTGAATGTTGATCAGATCATGAATTACACCCAAAAAATAAAATAAAAACATGAAGATATAGAGAGAAAGGCTGAGAAATGAGTGAACAGTAGTATATTGTGCAGTTATTCATAAAATGATCTCTTTATTTATAGAAGAGAGAGTATAATATAATGATGTTATATTTTTTTCTCTAGTTTAAAGGGGCACGTACGAAGTATTTTTTATGTTTCACATGTATGAGCTTATAGTCTGTTTGCTCTCTAAAATGATTTTCTAAGTTTAACTGGCTTCAGGTCGAAAGTATTAGCTCGGTCGGTTGGATCTACTCAATTGGTTGAACTTGTTTGATATGAACTGATTTTCAACCCTTGGCCTAGATGACAAGCCTCTAGGTTTCTCCAGGATGATTAAAGATGTTAGGGAACCAGATTTTCCCTTGTGTCAACTCTCCTGTGGGGGTCAACTTTGATATACTTTTGTCTCGTTTCTGTTTGAATGACTCGTTCTTATATCCTCCAGTCGTTTTTAATATATTTCGTGATTCGATCGGGTTTGGTCTTATTGGATTTGACTCGAACAAATTTGCTTAGTTAGACAAGTAGGCCTTATGATATTATGTTTATGGACCCACCTTTACTAGGCTCTTTTTAATTCAAGACTATAAGATCTCCTAAAGAATAGTTTTGGCACATTTTTTTAGTTCATATTTTAGTTATCAGATTCTCTTCTTAAAATCAACGTTGCAAAAAGAATAAGAGAATTTGGTGCGAAAATTAGATTGTATTTATTATTAATCAGTGATTTAATAATTGAATTCCTTTGATTTCATGCTTTTGATTCTTATAAATAAGGCTCAATAAGACTCTTTCTCATTTCTGATTTGCTACGAGACCCCTCTTGTTTGAATCGGTTGGCTTTTGGGCTCTACAATGGAGAATGCGCCAAATCCCTTTGTATGTATCCCTAACAAAATCTACTTCATGCCACCTTCAGGACGAAAAAGCAGCACCGCCTGAAAGCTAAAAAAAAGAAAAAAAATT